AAATTTTTGCATAAGGATATACAAGGTTTTGGAGGATTTTATCATATTTTGGTTATTGGTTACTTGAAGCTTATATATTTGGTGTAATTATTCAAAAAAAGAGATTATATATTTAAACTTAGGACTTCTCTTATTTGAAAGCTTCATTGAATAATTAGTAACAACCAGAAGCCTAGCGTTTTTTTGATGCAAAGTCTTTCTACCTCAACACTGTGTATCTAGTAGCTTGAATAAAACATGCGAAAAACTTCTCGTAAAGTATGGATCATAATTTGAAACAATGACATGAAATAATCCATGTTAACAAAAGTTTGTATTGAAGAAGACTTGTGCAAGTATTGGAGCATCAATATCAAAGAACACTACAACTAAGTGAAATTGCTTCGAGAGTCCGTCTACAAAGATAACAACTGCAATATAATTGTAAAGCATTTGCGGCAAACTCATAATGAAATCTATAGTCACATGCTTTCAATGTGCCATAGGTAGTCGAATTGATTGCAATAATTTAAGAAATGCTACATTATGTACTTTGTTATATTGACATGACTCGTAGGAGGGCACAAAAGCTCAAACATCATGATCCAAACTTGCTCAAAATCATATCCTTGAAATCCATTCTAGAGTCTTCTCATGCACTAGATGTCTAAATATTAGAATGTTATATCTTTTTTGAAATATGTATGTTCAAAATATAGCATTGTTAAGTATATAAATTTGCTTCTTGAAATAGAACAATCCATCATTAAGATGGTAATCTTAATATTACACATTGCCTACCTTCATTTAATTAGTAATCATCTTCAAATAAGCATCCCAATGTATAGTTTATTTTCATTCCACTCTTTTAGTTAGGTTTGAAATGACACTACTAATGGTAGTGACTTTTGCCTTATCTTCCAATTTAGGTTTAGAATTTGGTCTGTGCAATAAGATGTTTGATATGGTATATTGTCGCTTTGCTTATATTCAAGCTGAATATCAAGGAGCTACAATTGTTCTTCCTAATGATGATGTCGCAATTTCAGATTTTTTAGATGCAAATTGTGTAGTACGGGCCAATGGTTAATCTGAACAATTAGTGGCTTCCTTAATAGATAGTATCACCATATCTTTGTGGCATTTATATTTGCTAGTTGTTCTCAATTACATGCAAAGTAATTGCCCTTGGTCCTTTTGAGCTTGTGTAATTTATATAGTATATGTTAAAGGTTCCTACCAAAGTCTTATTGAAGGACTATGCCAATAGCAAAGTTAAAAGCATCAATGTCAAGTGTACAAGGAAGGTTGGAATCATACAATCACAATATTGGAGCAGTAATGAGTGTCTCCTTTAACTTATTAAAGGCCCTTTTTTGCTCCAATTTTAATTCAAATAAAAAACCTTTTTTCAATAAGTTTATCAATGAGGAAACAATGTATATAAATTTTCAAATAAAATGGCAATAATATTCAATAAGGCCTAAAAATGAGTAGACTTTAAAAGCATCTTAGGCAATTGGATAATCATCCACTGCTTTTATCTTATCATACTCTACATGCATATCTTTAAAGAATATGACATGTCCTAAAAAGATGAACTTTGACTCCCAAAGTTCACACTTTGATTGCTTGCAATAGAAGTGACTATTTTGTAGCCAGTACAATACATCCCATAGATGTTGCTAATACTCCTAAAAGATTTTTACTATAGACTACGATATCATTTGATATCATTGATATCCTTATACACCAATATTTGTTATTTTTATGGTATTAGTGATTCTTACAGGGCATCAATTTCCACTGACATTGGTTGTTGTACCATAGTATTGGATAGCATCATAGGACTTTGTGCTATAGGTTGTATTCCATGGTTTTTAAAATCTATAGCATAGACCCTCTTTGCAATCCTAATTTCCTCCTCAAATATTTGTAGATCTCTTAATTCTACTTCTTCTTGGACTACAAGTTTCAATCCTTATTTAAATTGATTTATTATTTGTACTTCTAAAACATTGCCAATTTTGAAATACAGGGACTTGAATTGGGAGACATAATCTTGCATTGACTTGGATTGTGTAAGATTAGCCAACTAATGACTTGCTATCTTTTATACATTGATGGATTGAAATTGTCTCCTAAATTGAGTTTTAAACTCCTTCTAGTCACAAAAATACCTTAAGTTCTATAGCTTTATGCTCGATGTTACCACCAAAAAGTCATTCCATCTCTCAAATAGCTGACAACATATATAATACCTTTGGTGGTGTTTGTTCCAGATAGTTAGAAATATTATTATATGCTAAAGAGCCATTGGCATACATCTTCTTGCCTTTAAGTCCTTAAGTATGTATTGGACTTGTTTCATTTTTGTTTAGTGTATGTTGACTTTCTTGTCTTAAAGACTTCTATTTGTCCTTGCAAAGTAGCTATTTGACCTAGGAGGTGTTTTATCTGAGTTTCCATTTAGAATTGAATTGCCATATTTCTCATCTTATAATTTCCTTATTAAACTTTATTATTGTAATGTCTTTTCTCCTTCCAACTGATTTTTTAAAAGTAGCTTGTGATAGCTCCAAAATAATACTTGATATGACTACAACAACTGCCATCCAACTAGATGGTGGCTATGAATACACTACCAAAGAACAAACTAATACTTGCTTTGATACCAATGAAACAAAACTGGACTATCTCTAAGATCTAAGATCCTTCTAATCCAAAGCAATATAAATTTTGTCACAACGTAGAATACCAAAGACTAAAACAAAACTAAACAAAATTAACTAATGTGGAATATTAAAGATAGAACAAAGCAAAAGAGAATAGAATAGAATTGAATAGAAAAGTAGAAAACCAAACTTTACTAAGAGAAAGGAACCAAAGCCATATTTGACCATATACACTAAATATCCCTAGTCAGTCCTATTTATACTTTGTCCAACCATCCTCAAACTTGCTAGAATATTTTTAATAGTGTGCCTTATCTACAAAACTGCCTTAAGTCCTTTCTAAAATGTTCTATGGTGGATCTCACATAAACTACCAACCTTGTTTCAATTCTAAAAACTTCTAGAAACTTCCTTAATATAGCTTCAACTACCTATCTCTATACATCAATAATATGAATATCTTATCCATATCCCATTACAAAAGACATTACTTATTTAAATGAAAAAATCTTTTAAAAGAATACATCAAAATTAATTATACCAACCATACTATCTTACAGATTATATTCAAAACATTAAAAATTAACATGATAGTTGTAATTTTTTAATTCTTATACAATCACATATTTATTTGAATTAGATATCTTATTACAATTATAATTAATTTAATCTTTTTATTTATAAATAAATAAATCAAATAATTGATATAATTCTTTTTTTTATTTTGTTTTATATTAATAATTTATTATCTTAAAAATAATGGATAAATTTATTCAATGATTAAAATAATTAATAAAATATTTATTAATTTTTTTTAATAAAAACTAAACCAAGTAGAATTATTACTTATTAATATTTATATTATTAAATTAAAATAAATTATATATATATATATATATATATATATATATTGATTGATTTTTATCAAATATATGGTACCAATCTAATATACAAATATACTATCAAGCTATTTCACTACTAAAGTTTTAACAATCTAACCAAGTTGCATAGAAAGCCAAATTAAGAATAAATTTATTTAGCTAGATCATATTGGATAAATTATTGAAATTGAAATTTAAAGATTAATAATAAATTTCATAAATACTAATGATAATAAAATGCTTTAAAATAAAATAAATTTAAAAAAATTATAAATCCAATAATAATCAATATTTTAATAATAATATTTATATTATATTATAAAAGTATATATTATATTTAAACATATATATATATATATATATATATATATATATTTGAAAATAAGTATCAAAACCTTAATAATAAATGAATAATTGAATAATTCTTTTGTTTTATTATAAAATATTATTGATGATTAAAATACCATTCAACTAATTTTAAATCCTTTCAACTTCAATAATGGTTTTGTGTTATTGATCCTTGTAGAACTTATCTTAATAAAAGATATAATCAATAGTTCAAAAATCCGATTTTTTTGTAATTAAAAACTAAAAAAAAAATGTTTATGTTAACATATATGTATCTAGTAAGAAGACATGTTAAATTAATTATTACTAGAATATATAGAAACAAAATGAATACCATTTTTAATATTGTCAATGTTTTTTTTTTGTATTTTAGTATCAGGTCAATACTTTCTAATCTCTTTATATTTGCTATTAGCCATTATAATTATTTCTAATTCAGGAATAATTTTTTTATTTGTATTTACATTTTTCAATTAACATGATTTTGTAGTTGTACATGTGCTATTATTTATTTATTTATTTATTATAATATATAAGCAAAAGCTTTATTTACTATATTTTATCATGTTTATATGGATACATATGATGTGTTTATACAATGTCAAAGACTTATTTTTTATTTTTTCATGTATAAAGATATGTAGAGACTTTCACAAATCATTTTTCTAATGATTTGTTTTCAATTTCCACATACAAAACATTGTTGAGATATGCTCCTATATATATTAATTTTATTTACTAATTTTGACACCAACATGTACCGTTGACTTTGCAGGCATCACCAGCCAGATTATTTATATGTTTATTTATTTATTTATTCATTTTTAAAATATTGTTACTTTGCATTTAAAACTTTAGACATCGGGACCCAATGAGAAGAGACCAAGGAAGGGGGGTGGAATGCGAAGAACGAAATGAACCCACGTGGCAGGGCGAGCTGGCACCCTTGCCACACTGGCAGCTGGAAGGGGGGTGCCGTCCACGTCATCACCATCGATGGCACTCCTGTGATTTCTCCGCGCGCCTCGCAACAGCAGCTCCAGCAACAACGGCAGCAGCAGCATCACGCTCACCAATTCATGCCACATATCTTAGTCGACCTTCCTAATTAATGCTTCCAGCGATGGTGAAATCAGGGGAACTCTCGTCATTCTTGATCTCGCAGCATGCCTACGTTGCTGCTTCTGCTGCTGCTACGACATAGCGGGTTAGAGAGATTTGTTCATCACGGTAGAGTTTGGAGAGAAGGAATCGAGGATCACGACGTCGTAAGGATCCACGTGAGTGGGTTTACTGTCCATGGGTCCGGTTTTGGGTTCATGGTTGTGAGTGGGAGGCGGGGTTGTGGGTGTTTTTCTTTAGAGGTTTTTTTGAACGTGAGTTGGACGGTTAAAGGAGCTCTTGCTCGAGATGCTTCGGCCATGACTGATGTCGTATGTCTGGTTTTCAAATGTGATACGTGTGATACGAGGCGGAGGGATTTAAGGGAGGTGGTTTAGATTTTGGTTGTCAATTCCTAACTTTTCTTTACCTCTGTTTGAGAAGTTGGGCGTGGGATACTCTGTACGCTACTGACTGAGTGCTTGTATTCTTGTCGGATGTTGTATTGACGTTTGGAGTTTCTTTGGTGGGACCGATTTCAGAGGCGTGTAGTATGATGTGTATTGTGGGAGCGTGGGATGCACGATTTTACAGCTTACGCTCCCGAAATTGAATTAAATTGGCTCTTCTGGTTTTAAAATCACCGATTACAATTTTATTTTTTATTTTTTGTGTTTTAGGTTTAATTTTGTTGTTGTTGTTTTTGTTGTTTTATTTTTAATGTAGATTAGGTGAAGGTATGTCTGCAACCGCCAAGATGAGTCATAAACTCAGAGTCCTCGTCGTGGGTTGTAGCAGTGGAGTCGGCTTTGAGGTACTCTTCACAGCACTCTATTTTAAGTGACACAGTTTGAAAGACTAACAGCGATGTGTTAAGTGTCCTCTTGTTTCGGATGTTATGTCTACCGATACACTAGTTATGATTATGTGAACAAATCATTCTTCTTTTAGAGTAAATGAATGAAATTTGTAGTTGTGCGTTATGCATTGTAGAGCTTCAGCTCGCAGGAGTTGAATAAAGACAAAAATATGTGCTAAATGTCATGTATTAACTGCTTTCTCATTGCATTCATATGCAGTCCCTGATGGAACAAGTATATCTTGCAGGTCACGAAAACACTGTTGACAGCTGGAGATAAATTTGAAGTGTTTGGTCTTGTTCGGAATAAGGAGAGAGCAGCTAAAGCTATTGGTAAACTGTTTCTTTGTGTTGTATTGGACTTCTGCATGATTTCAAATTCGAACATGTACTCTTTTGTCTGTTCGATGCAAATTGTGCGATATCTTAACTTTCCGTATTGCCATGCCGGAGATGACATTGATTCACTTGAGTGCAGTGGGTTTTGCCATCTTTTATGCCATCACCATTACGTTTCAGAGAATGCGGCATTAGATTTGCTTATATGAGTACAGCACATGCTGTGAAGGTCCGCCAATTTTTATTCGTTATTTGTTGCAGGTTATGGCGCATCGAGAGTGACCTTCGTCCAGGGAGATGTGACGGACCCAGATAATCTGGTGGAAGTTTGCCAGGGAATGGACGCAATCCTATGTTCAATAGGTGCTAGAGCAGGCTGGCGTCCACCTTGTTGTAACATCGACACTCCGAAACATGTGGATTACCAAGGAGTGAAGAACTTGGCTGAAGCAGCTGCTTTTGCTGGGGTATTCTCCTTAGGAGCTTTTGTTGTTGTTGAATTAATTGGTTTTGGTTCTTTTGTCATCACTTGTTCTGCAGTTAGGCATAGTTTGAGGCGGTGTTGCACCTCAGCCGTGGATTCATAAGCTAGGTTTTCGTCTGCTAGTGGCATCTCACAAACTACTCGAACAGGTCCAAAGATTTGTGCTGATCTCATCCGTAGCCGTGACGAGGACTTGTGATAAGATTTCTTGCCTACTCAACACATTATTTGGGCGTGTACTCCGCTGGAAACTCAAAGTAAGACTTCGATGAGACCCTTCATGTGTATTCCAGGTTTGAAATCAGGACTTGTGGTGGTGGGCTCAAAATCATATTTTTATATAGGAGATGTGATTGAATATTCCACGCAGTTCTTTGCTGTTTTAAAGTCGTTGTCAACGTCATGCTATCTGTTCCAGATACAGCAGTTGTATCATGCTTTTAAATATTTTTTACACCTCTCACTGTCACGTGGTACAACAGGGAGAGGAAGCAGTAAGGAGAGCTTACAGGCATGAGGATTTAGCGTACTACATCATAAGGCCTGGGGCACTGAACAACAACCTAGGTGGCGTTCTTGGCCTCAGGGTTGAACAAGGTAATTGGTTGACGTATTAGTCGAAGTCTTCCCAATAACATTCAATTATGAGATGTGCTTGAGTCCAGAGCTGCTACTTGCAAACACCTGACCGTTTATGCTGATTGCACTTTCGTGAAGAATTAAAGTGCTTCACGATGGGTTACATGAATCTTGCATCAGTAATTTAATACATGTCTGCATGTGAAATCATGAGATTCTGCACCTTTTCAGAGTGATAATCGAATTTTTATAGTTAATCGAATTATCGTTGAGTTTATAGTTGCCTTTTAGGAAAGGAGACCAAATCTTTTGTAGCCCAGACGCTAACTTTCACTTTCAATATTATGTATGCGATTCAGGTGATCAAGGTAATGGGACAATCAGTCGCATTGATGTTGCATCTGTCGCAGTTACTTGTGTTGAGGGCCATTGCACTCCAAATGTCACCTTTGAAGTTTTCAACAGTAAAAACAAGTACTCACCTGCAGAAAATCTCAGCAAGTTATACAGCTTAGAATCTGACGAGCCAGTGGTGGAAGATTCAGAGAGTACTGGCAGGCTATTACCCTGATTTTTCCTGTTAGCTTCAAGCCTCCAATTTGCTCTTAATTCTTCACATTACAGACGTACCTCAGCAGACTGTAGAGTGTGGAGACGCCATTAGGGTTGATTTGTATAGGTCTGATTGATTCAGGCACGTTGTCGCTCTTTTCTTGTTAGCTGGAATATGTTAAACCCTTGTTCACATGTATTTTTTCAACAAGTAAGTAATCGATTTTAACCCCCATTTGTGAATATTTGACGAGGTGATAATCTTTTTGGGAGGGATCCAGTTGCTGGTTTGACAGGATATCCCTGCAATTCACTTGCAGAGGATGTTGCATAAGATGGACATAATGGATGGTGGAATCGAGGACGTTCATCCATTTGGATCTTGGGCAACCTATTCCTGCTCACAGTCCAAGTAGAATACGTACACATTGCATCTGTGGCTAGGATTTAGAGTTAGGGGTTTAGGTTAAAGGATTAAAACTTAGGGGGCATGCAATTGCCTCATGAACGTTTATCAACATCCATTTGGGAAAAGACATCCTCACCAGGGAATTGGAAGAGATTTCCTGCCCCACCGGTTTGGTTGCCATGTGCAAACATATCATATCAGTAATCTTTGGTGTAATGTTGCCTGGGAATTGTCTTTTCAAAGAACCTGCATTGATTTGAAGGAAGCATCTGTTTTGGACATTTTTTGTGTGGTATGGATGTGATCACAAGAAGGTGTTGATTTGCTAACTCAGTGCCTACGTGATCTAGTTGTGCTATTATCTACAAGGTGCACTGGTTTTTTGTGTCTAAGCTAAGGACTCCATAAACAAAGCCACCCATTCCAACAACTCACTCTTATGTCCCAATTGTGCTTTGATTTAGTGAATAACTAACTAAAATTACTTGTATAAAGAAAAAAACAAAATCAAGATTTTAAAATTTTGAGATAAGTAAGAATAGATGTTTAGAATGGTGCATCACATGAATAGATAGAAGAGACCTACATGCTTTACAAAGATTTGTTGTGAATCCCTAGGAGTTGAAATGTATTTTAGAACTTGTTGCATGGTTATATTGAAATTATTGAAACAATCCATTATTGATTTATAAAGTCTATTTCCAAATTAAAAAAACTACATGCACTTTGGAGTCTAGTTAGTTTCTTGGTGTCAAGTATCTAGTGCTAAGAGGAATACAACTTAGTAATAAGTTTAGGATTACAAAACTTCAACCACCTTATAAAAATTACCTAATTGGACTTGTTTTGGAATTTCTTGAACATGAGTTATAGAGCAAAACTATCTAGAGATGCTCACATAAGTTGTAAAGCATAAAAATATACCACTTTTGTTGTGAAAGACTACAATTTAGTCCACTTTATGCTTACAAAACATATACAAGTTTCTCATATAAACTGTAGTTGCAAATATTGAAGGGACATAGTAAGGATTCTTGTAAAGAGATTAATGAGTTTATAAACTATTGCCACACAACTATAGCATAAACTAGAAGAAAATAATTTTTTTGTGATAGGATCATGACCTTAGACTATATGCAATGCACATGTAATTTAAAAACTTATTAATTTTGTTAGAAAATAAATCTCTCAATCAAACACTTGGATTATGAAAAGAATCCTCTTGAATACAAAGAAGCAAAAGTTGTACTACTACATTTTCATTTTTTCTTATTTAAGACAATAATGTGACTCTTGAATTAATTAATTGTTGAAAATGTGACAGTAGAACAACAAAATATAATCTATATCTTTGTCTCAAGGTGTTTAAAATGATATCTATTATCACTAAATTTTACTATAATTAGAACGGTCATAGATGTTAATATTATTGATTAAATATTACTTACCATTCTTTTGTTGAATATCTTTTAGAATGAGATTTTTATTATAAGATTTCATCTACAATAATAATCTTGATTTTATTTGATTCTATATATATTTAGTACCTATAGGCAAGAAATACTATTATATTATATAAAAATAAATTTAGATATATATTAGACATGTGGTTATAAAAGGATTTGATCTTATCTTGAAGTTAAATTTACTATCCAATGTAGAAGGTATTTAGAAACATCTAGTTTGTAATCTTGAATAATTTAAGCAAACTTCAATTTATCATAATTATATCTTACTAATCTTAGATATATCTTATCACATTCTAATCAAGTCCAAATAAAACTTAAAGAATATTTAACAATCCTAATTAAATCATAAAGAAATTTTAAGTAATTTATAGAAATTCTAAAGAAATCATTAAAAATCCTAGAAAAATTCTAAAAGAATCTTAAATAATTTCTAATTGAATCTTGACCAATTCATATGATAGATTTAAAACCTCAATAATTATTAAATTAACTATTGAATTTGATTCAAATTTTATAAAATATTTAATTTCCTATTTAAAAATAATCACATAAAATTTTAAAAAAATCAATATTAATAATTGGAAGAAAAAATACCTAATTTGCTCTAGTGTTGGCTATCTTCTTTCTTTGATCTTCATGTCAATCTTCTAGTATTAATAGGTTTCTTTTACATAATTTAATTCTTTTCATAATTTATATTTTTTTTGGAAATAAAACCAAATATTAGTTCACAAAATATTACTTTAATCTAACTAATGAATTTTTCAAAATCATAGAAATCCTCATTAATCCTCAATATCTAATTTTCTAGACCTTGTATTAAGGATATAAATTACAAACAATAAAATCTTTAATACATTCTTGTGTCATTAAAAAAAAAGTAGATATTTAATCAAAGAGAATGTAGTATTAGAATTAGAATGGCTATTGCCAAAGATAAGAAGACTAGAGACTTTTGAAACATTACTAAAGACAAAAAAGATATCAATAAGAATAAAGAATGTTTCACTCTTGCTTCCATATATACAATCTAATTGTGAGTTACATAATAATGTTTTATAAGACCTCTAATACATGTCTAACTTGCAAAACATGTCTCTAACTTGTAAAACAAATTTCCTACATGTACGCCACATGACCAACTTGTATCATAGGTTGCCAATATATACATTATGTAGCTAACTTATTGATCAAGTTTTCAACCTATTATTTTGGACATACATATTTACTCCAATAATTATCTAAATAATATAAATTAATTTGGCAATATCTTAAAGAAAATATTTTTAGATAATTTATAGATACAATTTTACCTTTATACATATCTATAAGTGATTGATAGATTGAATATTTGCCTAATAAGTTAGCCACAAATCATACATATTGGTAGCTTGTGATACAAGCTAATTATGTAGTGCACATAAAGGAAACTTGTCTTGCAAGTTGAGATATGTGGCTTGCCAATTGAATACATATTAGAGGTTGTATAAAACATCACCACATAGTTCTTAATTAGATAGTATATATAAACGTAAGAGTGAAGCCTTCTTTATTCTTATCAATTCCTCATCAAGGATATAAATCTTAGAAAAATAAAAGATCAATACTTTCTTATGTCACTCAAAAAGATTAGAAAATTATTCAAAGATGGTATAATATTACATTAAAATAGCAATTGCCAAAAATAAGAAGACTAAAAAGTCTTAAAATAAGACTAAAGACTTGAAAGATGTTGATAAGAGTGAAAAAGACTTCATTCTAGCCTCCATATATATTATCTAACTAAAAGCTATATGATAATATTCTATAAGACCTTTGACACATGTTCAATTTATAAGACATGTGTTTTAACTTGTAAGGCAAGTTTCTTATATGTGTACCATGTTGTTAGCTTGTAATATAAGTTATCAATATAAACAATATGTGACTAACTTAATGGCTAAATTTCTAACCTACTAAATACCTATAGCCATATATAAAGGTGAAATTGTATCTATAAAGCTTTTAAGAAACTTTCTTATAAGACATTATCAAATTAAATTATTTTTATCTATTCATAATATTTATATAATTATTGAAGTAAATATGTATGTCCATGATATTATCCCTCCTTTTAGAGACAAGTTCTACAAGGAGTAGTAATCACATATTGTAGAAGTCCAAGATGCGGCGAATTATCAAGGATATGAATCTTAAAGAAAGAAAATCCTCTATACACTCTTGTGTTACTGAAAAGAACTAAAAAGTGACTTAAAGATGATATAATATTAAACTAAAATGGCTATTGCCAAAAATAAGAAGATTAGAAAGTCTTGAAATAAGATTAAGGACTAGAATGGCATTGACAAGAGTGAAAAAGGCTTTATTCTTGTTTCTATATATACTCTTAATTAGGAGCTATGTGACAATATTCTATAAGACCTCTAAAACATGTTGACTTTATAAGATACATATCTTAATTTGCAAGACAAGTTTTTTTATATGTATGCCACATAGTTAGCTTGTTATGCAAGCTATTAATATGTAGTTAACTTGTTGTCACGAACACAAAATACAGACTTGAAATCTAACAAGAAGTTCAAGAAGAAGTGGCAGAACTAGATTAAACAGATGAGTACAAGAATAACACTAGAAAGGTGAGCTAGAACTCCAAGAGATGTGTTGTCGAGACTGAAGAACTCTTCAGCCTCGATCCCTATATATATTCATACTTAGGAAGCTTCTCGAGCTACTTCTATTAACTAGGAAGCTTCTAGAAGGTTTTAGAGGCTTCCTTTCTAGAAGGTTCTAGAAACTTCTCGAGCTACTTCTATTAACTAGGAAGCTTCTAGAAAGTTCCAGGGGATTCCTTTCTAGAAGCTTCTAGAAACTTCTCTTCTAGAAGGTTCCAGAGACTTTTTTTCTAGAAGCTTCTAGAAACTTCTCTCTAAAAGGTTCCAGAGTCTTCTCTTCTAGAAGGTTCCAGAGGCTTGTTTTCTAGAAGGTTCTAGAAACTTCTCTCTAGAAAGTTCTAAGGAATATGTCCCTAACATCACCCCCTCCTTTAGCTTCGAAGTCTCTGAGAAGCAATGTTGTTGATCAGTACCAACGCAAGAAAATGAAGATCTGTCGCATAACTTCTGCTATGAACTCCAACTGTTGTTCACGAGGCAAGTGGTTCATCGACCCTTGAAGCCAACGGTAGTGGCCCACGCCTTCGACTTCTGACCAAGCATGAACTTCCGTGTCCTTATTGTGAAATTGTCCTGCAAACACGCCTTCTGGTTGACCATCGTAAGTAGGCTCAATGTCAAATACGATCACCAGTGATCGGTTACTCGGTATCCTCCGTCGTCGTCATGGTACATGTAGTTCTTCATCTCAGGGTCGCCTTCGTGAGCTACTCGGTTGCGATACTCTGACTGGCATAGTATCTATCTCTTGGCTATCCATATCAAAAGACCAAACTACGATCTATCTTAGAGAAAATAACTACATCAACTATGAATTTTGCTGGTGCTCTCCCCTTTTCTTATATTGTTGGGAGAACAAGCTT